TTCTATATATAATTTTTAATTTGTGATACATTTTTATTTGTTATTTTTTTTTTAATTAACTTTTTTTTAATATTTTTTTGTAATTAAAAAAAATAAATTTTTTTAAACATTACCGTGACCTTTTCTCCAACGAACAAGTGCATTTCCTTCAACTTATCCAACTTGCAGTCAAGTTCGTTGCTTGAGTCTTCCGTTTGCGCAGTGACTTTGAGTTTGGTATGCTTTCCTGTTTTATTGTTCTTTTGTTTTGTGCTCTCCTGCCGCCAATAACATGTTGCATGCAGGAAGTGCATGCACCATAATAATTACCCATGTAAGCGCACAGCAGTCACTGCCACGCCTCGTACACGCCGCACTGCGTGTTTTTGTTGTATTTGCTTTTCATGTTGCCCTCCAAGAATATCAGTTTGCCATTATATATAATTGCCATAAATTTTTCCGAGCTTTTCCAGCGCGATTTCCCTGCTGTGATATGCTTGCTGGTACAAGAAAATAAAAACAACAGCAACAACTACAGCACAAAAACAGCAGCTGATCTGTGCTGCCATAATATTTTTGCTGTGGCGCACAAGTGTCCCAGTGTCGATGAAGCCGAGCGGCATTTCTAATGCTTTTTAATTAAGAACATACATGCGTTTGCATGTGTGTGTGTGTACGATGCTTTCTTTACAATTATGTATGCATGTGTGTGCTTATAATGAAATAGCTGCCAGACAAACAGGTTGCACGCTGTCGGCAGCTGCGAGCAATTCGTAGCATCAACAGCTCATTACGGCCAACTTTGCCGCATGCTGCCTTTATAGGCGCCTCTGAGTGTATGCAAGTGTGTGTGTGTGTGTTGTCAAGAAAGTTGTGCCGTTATGTTCTGATTTCGATTCTCGATCAAGGCTTGCAACTTTCTTGACACCAACAGGTTGGCAGAACGCGTCGCGCGTTTACCTGTGGCAAGTCTCAGTAGCTGCTGCGATCGCCAGCGAGGCTATCATTACGCAGCAGGTTTTGCAGCCAGCAACAGAAATAAAAACTACAGGCAAGCGTGGCAAAAAGTAGTCATTGATTACTATGCGCTTTTGTGGCCGCCCGGAGTGAGTTCTTCGTGTTTGTTGTTGTTGCATTTTCATTAAAGTGGCAACATGTGTCAGTTGCTCGCTGCCTCAATGCCAAATTAAGATGCAGCATCACCGACGCATCGACAATGAAGTGAATGGTTGCGCTTCTGCTGTCGCTTCGGTCGCTTCTGCAGCTGGTTTGCTGCACCACAAGCTTCCTACGCTGCCATTCTTTGCTCACCTTAGCGATTTTCTATTGCCTTTTTGATGCGCTGACATTGATTGCATGACTCTTTTTGTTGCTGCCCGTCCATTTTCGGCTCTAAGTAAGCCAGTTAGTTCGCTTTATAAGCCATTGAAGGAACGAAAGACTTAAGCAACGAACCTGCTCAGCTGGGTTAATGGAGCTGATGGAAACGCTTCAAAGATAGACCACATATTTGAAGAGCCGCGAAGAAAATGTTGCATTAAATATTAGAATAAATCACTTTTTTAAAATAAATATTTTTTGTGAAATAAAAAGTTTTTTTTTTAAATTTTTAAATGAAATTTTATTTTTTTAATTATATAATTATTATATTCTAAAAACAATACAAAAAAAATTTTATATATATATAAATAATATTATATATAATAAAAGTTTATAAAAAATTTTGAATTGAAATCACTTTTTTTTTTATTTCTTTAATTTTTTTTTTAATACGAAAAGGCATGAATATTAAATTTTGAATATATTATTAAAATTTAAATATAAAAAAAAATTGAAAATTAATAACAATAAAAAAATCAAGAAAACATTAGAAAAAATATTTTATAAATTTTTCGAACTAAAACAATGAACACTCACAGCCCTGCATTTATTACATAAATAAATTTCCAAAAGAAGTGTTGCGAATGCAATTGTTACCACAAAAATATGGCAACCTGTGTGCACTGCCACAGCATCGCGTGCAATAAACATTTACTTAACAGTTTTTACGCGTGTGAAGTTAATAGCACAAAATTGCTGAGCAATTTAGGTGTTGCAGCCTAATGGAGTTGGCGAATGAACCTATTTTTATGGCCGACTGCCAAACAGCATTGTGCTAATGTGATGCTCTGAGTGTGTGTGAAGACATAAAAAGGTGGAAAGGTTTATAGAACTCGGGCTAAAAATAGTTTTATATACCTTAATTTGAATATGATGGACAGTGATGGACTTGCGCTGGCAAGTTCGTTGCTTAAGTCCTCTTATATCTGGCGGGAAAGTGAAGCTAATGTTGTTGGAGGACAAGTTTGTTGCTTAAGTCTTTAGAATTTAGATGGGTGATTGGCGAATGGTGATAATGGTCGAGTTCTTTGCTTAAGTCTTTTGATTTTTGGCAGGAAAGTGAAGAAAATGTTGATACAGTGCAAGTTCGTTGCTTAAGCCTTCGGATTTTCGACAATAAATTGGGAAAAATGTAAAAAATGCTAGAGTTTGTTGCTTAAGTGTTTCTAATTTAGATAGATTATTGACAAATAAGTTGGGAATCGTCACGATTTTTGTATTGAGGATGACTTACATGGTTAAATTTTTTTTGAGACTATTATATATACAACACTTATATACAGAATTAATTCAAACTCTTTTTAAATTGGTAAAATATTCAAAAAACGCAATATTGACATTTTTTCATATGAAAAATTTGGATAAAAATTAAATAATTTCATAAAATTTTTAAAACTTATTAAGAAGCAAAAAAAAAATATACAGATTAATTTATATTTGTTGATATATATTTTTTTTTGTGTGGTAATGATTTTAGTTCTTAATAATATGTTTTACTTATTTTTAATAAAAAAAATATTTTATATTGTATTTAAAAAAACACAGTTTTTATAGAAATTTAATTAGTTTTTAATTTTCTCCGCTAATTGCATGTCATAAAAAGTACAGTTAGATTTCCATACAAATATGCATATGCTATAAAAACATTGAATTACGCCGTCAAAGCCAAATCCGCTAGAAGCACTTTGCTGCTTCCGCACACGCCCACATTTGTGTGCAAACAATGATGGACATGTGTTTGCGTGTGCATATACATATTTACACACACACACATGTACTTAGCAATTCAAATGCCGCACGTACGAGCAGCATTCATAATTGCTTGCCACCTGTGTGTTTGTGCAACACGCACACTCATTGCCATTTGATTTGATTGTTGGCAGCAAACATGTTGTAAAAATAATTTTATTATTATCAAGCGTATTTTTTCTTTCTTTTTTCAATTGCATTTTTCACCAAATGCAATGCGCATTTTTGCTTTTTATGTCTTTAATGGGCACTTAAATGCACTGAAATGTGCAACAGAAGTGTTTGCCGTAGACGACATCGTGCATTTAAGTTAACATAGAAGAAAATTGTTTAACATGAAAAATCACATTACGCACACACACGCACGCACGTACATACGCATGTAATAACAATAATAATGTAAAGAAAAATAGCATTGAAACGTTGTTGGAAAAAAAATCATGTGGAAACATGCAAACAAATTAAAACCTCGCTTTGTCGCATGACAGGCGCTTATTATACCGTGCACAAGTGCCGCTTGTGGCGCCACACGCTGCACAAATCCATAATTTTATATTTTTAGTTGTTGTACAAGCATGGAATTGTTGTTTTTTTATTGTTATTGTCGTTATGTTGCGTTGGAATTTTTTAAACACGCTTCGAGTGCTCCTTGTGGCACGTCACTGCAGTTTTTTTCAATTTAAGAAATATAATGATGCTTTCTGCAACGGCGAGAATAATAGTAATAATTGTTTTCGTTTAGAAAAACATTTATTTCAAGCAAGTACAGATAATTTTTTTAATTTTCCATTATATTATTTATAAAATTTTTTTTTTACAAATTTTTCATAATGTTTTTTATATAATTTTCACATTTTTCTTGTAATCTTTAAGTGTTCTTAACTGTTTATATTATTTCATTTCTTGATTGCTAGCTTTTTTAGATTTATTTACCATAATATTATTTAAAATATTTGTAATTTTTTTATATACTAAGTTCTTCAGTTAATTAAAATTTTTTTTAATTTTTTTATATTTTTATTGACGCTTTTCAATTTATTTTCTATTATTTCAGATCTTGTAATATTTCTCACTCAAATTTATTCAATAATTTTTTGGACCATTTACATTTTTTCTTAACGAAATTTTTTTAGTTTTCTTTTGTATTTAAATATAAATAATAAAAGAAAAAATATTTTAGCAAATATTGAAAAAACTTTAAATGCTGTACAGAAATTTCGAAAAATTTTTCATAAAAAAATATATTTAAATAATTTGTTTTAAAATAATTTAATCTTTTATTTTTTTCCTTAATATATTAGAATATTATACCAAAATAATATTATCAAATTTTTTAATAAAGAATTTTCAAATTGTTCTAAACTATCTTTCAAATGTACTTACTAATTTTAAAAAAAAAATTTAATTTAAATTTTCCAAGACCATTTTTACTTTTAATTTATTTAAAATAAATATCGTTTTTTTATTTTCCTCTAAAATTAACTTTTATAACACTATTTTAAGTGTTATTGTCCTTGTTTTAATTAACATATTTTTTTTCAGAAAGTAACTTTTAGTAATTTTTTTTAAACTTAAAATAGTCTTTTTTTAACTTACATATTTTTTACATATTTTTTTTACAGAAAGTAAATATTTAAAAAAAACTTTTTATATTATATTTTTTTAACAATTATAATATTTTTTTTTTTGATATTAAACCATATTTATTTTAAGCTCTTAAAAATAAATTTTAAATTGTTTTTATTTTTTTAGTTTTCATTTTTTGTGAAACTTGTTTTTTTAACTTTGCCTCTATTTTTTTTTTCAAATCAACCACACGCACTGTAATTTTATTTAATTTTCCCACAACATCTTATTTTAATCATATTTTTCTTCTTCTTCCTTTCTTTCAGCGCTGCTACACGCTGCCAAAGCAATCAATTTTTGTTGTTGCAGCAACAAAGAAGGCTCATTGGCCGCAAGAAGGTGAGTGGCAAAAGTTCTTACCGAGCCTAGAGAAAGATTACAAATAATTAACACACACACACACACAAGCATGTATATATGTAATTACGCGCATGCTCGCTACCTGCAACCAATGCAACCCAACTGGGCGGCCGGTGCAGTGCACGCTTGAAAGAAAATATCGAAAAGAAAACTTAAAAAGGTTGTTGCAACCTTCAGTGCGGCGCGCAGCAGGTGTTGATGCCTCACACGTTCGATTGATAGAAATCTAATTATTTATTTTGATTTTTTTCACACAAAATAATGTATTTGTTAGGTTGTGTATGTGTGTGTTGGCGCTCGCGGTAATACATTTGAAGGCATTGCAGCTGGCCAGCAACTCATCTACGTCTTTTTTGTTGTTTATATACATACAACTTTATATATTGGCGCATCAAAGCGCATGCCAGCTGCCAGCTGTGCTTGCCACAAACACTGCTGCCCACTCCAGAACATACGCCAGCCAACTATTCAAGCATTTTATGCGATCACTTTGCCTCTGATCTCGGCAGGTGGCTGTTGTTTCAGTTGGCAGTTGCAACAAAAGGCGGAAGTTGCACATTGCTTAGATGATTACTGCTGTAGCATGCAGCCGCATGCGTGGTAAACTTAAAATCACAGACACATACACATATGTATATACTTTTGTGTTTGTGTTTGTCTCAAGCAAATACAAAGTCTTCAGCGTCTTCATTTATCGCGCCAACAACAGCTTTTAATTACAATTATTAAGCACACACACACACATACTTGCACTTGAAGCTTCTCAGAGTCCCACATTCTGTACTTATCGCTATTTTACCCGCTTGTGTGTGTGTATGTGTGTGTGTGCGTGCGTTTTTTTTTTTCAAACACTACTTAATTGCCATTGTTTGTAATCACGAAATCATTTTCATTTTCAATTTTTTCCAACATTCAATTATTTTATCTGCTCAAGTGATTTTCTCAAAAGCGCTCACACACACACATACATATACATGCAATTATGCTGGACTTTTATCAATCAGGGAAGTGTTTTTCTTAAGTGGCAATTTAATATTATTATTAAGTTCTAATTTGTGAGAGCAAACTGCAGAAAAATCGCAGCTGATTGTGTTAAAGTGTGGAAGCAGAGAAATTATTATAATAAAAAAGCGAAAAATATGCATTTAAATGCTTGTAGGAAGTATTTGAAAACATAATAATTACATTAAAATGGAATTTCACTGGTTTTTGTGCCTGTTTCTACAAGAAATTATCATTGTGACAGCTTTTACAGGCCACCGTTGCTTGGCTAAAGAGGTTTTTGAAGTTTTATCGTGTCTAAAAATTTCTTCCACATTTTTTTTTTAAAATAATTTTTCAACATTTTTTTTTTTATTTGTATATATCTTTCTTTTCATATATATATATATTTTTTTTTTTTATATTGGCGCTTTTGCGCTTTTTTGACACAATTTTACGCTTTGAAATATTTTTTTGTAAATTTTTTTTTATAATATATTTTACATAGTTTGTTTAATTTTTTTTTTTAATATTTATTTGTTATTACTTTTTATTTAATTTATTTTTTTAAATTTTATAATTTTTTTGTTTTATTTAATTTTTTTAATATTAGCATTTTTTAAAATTTATTTTCTATAGTTTTAGCAATAGAAATATTTTTTTAAAATATTTTTTAAATTATCTACATTTTATAGATTTTATTTAATTTTTTTTATTATTATTAATATTATCTGCATATCAGATATTAATCCTGCAAAGTTTTTTTTGAAAATATTTTCATAATTGTTTTTAAAAATTTTTCAACATTGTATATTATTTACTTGTATATAATTTTTTATTTAATTAATTTTTTTTTTTTTTGTAATATTTGCGCTTTTGAATTTGTTTACCACAATTTTTCAGATTGAAATATTTATTTTTAAAAGTTTGTTTATAATATATTTTATATGTTAAATGTGTGAAATTTTTTTTTATAATTTTTTATTTGATTTTTTACAGTTTTATTTTATTTTTTTAATATTGACATTTTTTGTTTTTTTTCCATAATTTTTTTACCCATTAAAATATTTTTGGTTAGTTGTATACATTTTTTAATTTATCTATTATAGATTTTGTTTAATTTTTTTTTTATTATATTCAATATCTGCTTATTGGAAATAGTTTTGGTTGTATATACATAGTCCGTACTCATAGAAAGCGTCTTAGCTAACATTATACGAAGTAAGCATAGCATAATTATTTTCCGTTCGCGCTTGAAATACCCCATTTCTCTACAGAATCAACGGAGCTTTTATTTTTAAGCATACATGCAGGCTCTTACCACATATGAGTTTTAGGAGATTTTTCTGTCTTAACTTAGACATACTTTTTTACTAACTCTAGTTAGCATAACTTATATTACGATCGTGCATATGAAGCTTTAAGCTTTCAAAGATCAGATTTATTACTTCATCAGACAACGTAGTATAGTTTTAGCATTGACTTAATGCGACTTAAGATCAATGAAAAACGTTTCACAGCTTAATTAGAGTATAAATCAACGCGCTAAGCCTGTTCAAAACGATAGAAAATAATGTTTGGACCATTGAACAGCCCCTCCACTCCGTCGTTATCACCAATATCCCTCAATTATCCCTGAGGACTGTCTCTAAACTTTCATTAGCGCAAATACGCCGATATTTTGCTTCTAATAAAGCATTCTATGCCTCAATCTAAATGATTTGCTATAAATCATGGTTGATATGCAACGCTTCATTATCCAGTTCAGCCTATTATTTGTAGACTGAAAGGAATTCCACATTCAATAATGGCCAGTGGCTCAAAGGTCTTTCAAAGCGCTCTCAAAGGACCAGAATGCAATAAAAGCAAATGCCAATAAAGAAAATGAAATTTACTCAAAGCACTCTAAGGCTAGCAATAAAATATAAAGCTAGAAAGCAAACGCAAAGCTATTAAGTACGGCAAATACCTGTACTTATGTCGCAGCAGAAGCAAAAGATCTCTAATAAGAAGAAGCAGCAGCATGCCACACTGTTGCAGCAACTAAGCGACAGCTCCTTGAGCGCACAATAAATTTGCGCACATTTATTACAATAACTAAGCAGCAATTCATAGTGAGGCCGCAATATTTGGTTTGTTGCAAGCTTCATATGAATACATGTGGCACAAACACATACACGCACACACTTACACACATACATTGAAATGTGGTTGCTAACAAAAGCTGTCGGCATGCGCTTGCTGTCGCTTTATTTAGTATGTTTGCCAGCGTTTGTGTTGTGCGCTTGCTATTTTTAAATAACCACGCAGTGGCCTCTAGCTGCCAGCTGCCACCTCTGCCCTCACTCGCATTCGAAATATGCTTTTAATTTCAGCCATCTTGCCGCCGCTATCATCAAAGTCAGCTTGATTTACTATTTCACTAGAGTCACCCCGCTCAGCTGAAGGCGGGCACAGAGCGTCAACAAAAGCATGCTTCTACTGGTCGCTTTGCTGGATAATTAAAGTGACAGTGGCATTGTTTTGTGCCGCTTTTCGCGCTTATTATTGCCAGATGACTTTTGGTTCCATAAATGTGAGATGGGGCTGTTAGGCGCGTCTAATCAGCGCAATCCCTCTAGTATTTTCTATGGATATTTTGGAAGTCAATTCTTTCAATGGTCTCTGCAATACATCAAACGCTCTTTTACTGCTAAAAAATATAAAAAAAAACCACTTAGATCCATTTGCTCCTTATTTCAAAATTTTTTCGATTCATTTTGAATCTCTTTCCTTTATTTATTGATTCTGAAATTTTTTATACTTAGCTTACCTGTCATTAATTTTAAACCTTAAAAAATCTCGAACACATTTTCTTAGTCAATAGCTCTTTTGTACTCATTTCGGATCCACAACCATTGAAGATAAGTTCAAAAACAGAGTATAAGTCATTGCTTTTAAACTCATACGACCTCCGGGAGGATTTGCTTCTTCTAGAGCAATCATTTTCTTAGATTTCCGAGATCCATAATTCCGCCTTTTTCTTGTGTCAGTGGTTTATCCTGCACCTAAAAGAATCTATAACTATTCTCCTTAGTCCTTAGCCCAATTATATCTTTATTTGGTCGTGCTAGTTTAAGAGAGGGGACTGCTATACTTCAACTGTCTCTTCTTCACACTTAGTCAAGCCAGGCAAGTTATATTTTTATTGTTTGGCGAACGTCGTTTTTAGTACACGGCTAATTTAGGTGCGAGACAATGCTTAGGTCAAAATTGTAGTACGATTAGCGTACGCCCAGCGCATTCCCTTGGAATTTAGTGCAAGTCAAAACAAAATAAATATTTTAACGCCATCTTTAATACTCGATTGGTTGCGAACTTAGCTAAATTCAAAACTAAGCTAAGCTTTAGTAATCACTTCGGCAAATAAGTTTTCTTAAAGATATGACACCTTCTTTAAAGTAATGTGTTGAAACCAGCGTTTACTTTCTGATACATATATTCCTAACACCAAGTTGACAACTATAACAAATACAATTATTTCATGTAAGCTTGCTTGATCTTGAAGAATTATCATCTTTACAAATTCTCACATAATACTTCCGCAAAATGTGTGAAATTATGTTAAGAAAAATAACGCTGTTACTTAATCAAGTTAACCTAGTGTGACATTAAGTCTAATGAAAGGCAACATTGTTAGTGCTTAACTGAAGCTTTCATTGTTCGGAAAAACTCAAAAGCGTTCCAAAAGGCATTGAGATTAATATAGCTAGTACAAAGATCGCACGACAAGTCTTTTTCGATGACATTAAATTAGTTGGGGAATAACAAAATAGTACACAGAACAGTAAATCGCCTTCAGCTAGGTGAGTTCATAAAGCTCTTAAGCTTATAAAGTTCTTGAGCTTATGAAGCTGTGCAAGATCTACATGTGGATTTAAAAAGCTGCAGGCATCCTGAATGCTTACTTTTAAAAGCTTTTAACTTCGTATCAGCAAATTTTTTTTTTTACTTTTAAT